CCCGAGTAATTCAGTTTCTAGCTGAGCCTCGAACCGGCCAATTCGGGAAAGAAGCATTTTTGAAACCATCTTCTCCTTTGACCTCCTGTCAAAGCCTCTCTGCATCGCTGCGGCTGATACTGTCACATTCTGCCCCTGCCTTCCTGACTGTGTCTCTCTCCTGCCCTGATTAGCCCTTATTGTTCTCACCTGCTCCTCGTTAACCTGCCCATGTGTTCCTGATTTCCCTGTGTATTTATACCTCCCTCCTTGTGCCAGTCTTTGTCAGATCATTGTTGTTTGTCGTGTTGTTCTCGTTCCTGCCGTATCCTGTCATTAAACCCATTTTTACTTTATCCGTGCTAGCATTCCTGCCTCCTGGTCAGCTCCACCACACATGGTCCATCATCTCCACCATCACAACATGACAGAATCATCCAGCCAAAACTCAGACCTACTCGCTGAATCACATCTGCCTGATCTCGCCACAACTCTGTCCCAACACGAGAGCTTTGTTCGGTCCCTCCATGATCAGCAAGCTAACACCAATCAGCATTTGTTCCAACTGGAGAGCCTTATCCGGCAACTCCACGAAAAGATCTCTCCTCCTGCGCCTTCATCAGCTGCCCAAGAAACCCCCGTTCAAACGCTTCCAACGCCTCGTCTGCACTTCCGGGTCCCAGAATCCTCCCCATCTGTCATGTTGTGATGGTGGAGATGATGGACCATGTGTGGTGGAGCTGACCAGGAGGCAGGAATGCTGGCACGGATAAAGTAAAAATGGGTTTAACCCTTTGATGCATGAATTATGAAATCTTCAACCATGATTTTTTTAACAATTTTTTTCATTCGTCTTTAGGTGTGAATGAAACAAATTTCAACAAATATTTTTTGTAAAATTTTATAATTTACAAATATTTTATTACATGTCCATCTCAGTGGACAACGTTCATTCTGAGCATGAAATATGTTGCCTTGGCTTACTGAAGTGCAAATGGAGGAGATTAAATGCAATAAAGTCTTCAACAGCTGTGCTTAATAGCAAAAACAAATAAATAATTTTGAGTACCTGTCCACTGTAGTGACCATTATGCATCAAAGGGTTAATGACAGGATACGGCAGGAACGAGAACAACACGACAAACACGACAAACAACAATGATCTGACAAAGACTGGCACAAAGTTGACAGGGGGGACATGTCCCCCCCACATTTTCCAAAGTCAAGTTTTGACCCCTGCACTTTTTACCATCCAAAACAATATTACACTATATTAAATTAACACTGGATGAGCTCTAGGACCAAGCGGAAAACAACCGTTTGTGTTGAAGTCTGTTTCCCATTAGAGCATACCGTAAAGATACCCCTCCCCCGTGTCCCCCCCACTTCTAAAGTGAAAATTACGTCCATGAACGAGAGGCACCTGGCTGCCGCTGGGAGAACGCTCCGTGTTCTGTAAACAATCACAGACAACGTGTCTTAAAGTTGAAAACAGAAGTTTAAGTTAAAACAGAAACACTCGGAAACTTTTCTGATGATTTTCTAAACAATTCTGTCAGGGAGTTATACGTTTCTGAGACGAGTCTCTGTCTAAACATCATCGCATGCATTTCTATCATTAAGCAGTGAGGTGTGTTGAAGCTGTCATCAGCTAAGGTGTATCGGGGCAACGAGGAACGAGAACGTTGTGATCAGGCTGGAGATCACACCAGATTCGCTGCAGCAGGCGTGAATCTGCAGGTCTGCAGCATCCCCTTCTTAACGTGACATCAGGACTTCCCATGTAAGGAAGGTCCGCTCACCTGTTCGTCACATCATTATTTCCTCGCCATGATCTTTTATCATCCCATCAACCCCCAGTCATCCAACTGGAACCAGTTAGTGTTCCTGATCATTCTCAGAATATGTTGCGCCTGCTCTGGTGTTAAAAGTTAGTACATTTATGTCCTAGATCATATTTGTGCCTGCTCTACTGTCATTTTGAAGGATTATTATTTATGTGTTTTTACTACATTATGAGTAGAAATGCTAATAAAAACTCCCAATTATACAAACAAGTGAAACTGGAAAAATTAGAATCTGGTGCAAAGTCAAATTTATTTCAGTAATTCAACTAGACAGAGAGACTAAAGGCTCAGGAACCCTTTGCAGGCGTTTACTATTTGTAATTATAAATTTTAGTTGATTTGGGTCTTGTTTCATATCACACAGTGACATTTGATTAATTAAAATGCATTTTTTATTAAAAGCTTTAGTTTTACAGTCATAACTATGTCTAATGTTTAATTCTCTGTCTCATAATTTTAATTAAGTTTTGCTTTGAGAGCACATTGTCCTGAACGATTAAAATGCGATTAATTTAGATTTATTAATTTCAAAGCCTCTAATTAATTAGATTAAAAATTTTAATCAAGTCCCAGGCCTAATTTTTATATATACTGTTATTTTGTCTTGTAATTGTTAATTACATACTCCTTTATTCCATATCATATCAGTGTTATTCATATATTAAAACTGTCAACTGCACACTCATTTGGCAGAATAAAAGTTTGACAATTATTCATTTGTTCTTTGTCATATTTCAGTAACATTTTTAATTAAGCAAGTTGTAATTAAACAAACTAAAAAAATGACTGCAACATTTCCCCCTGTTAAGTGCAGTAGACAGAAATGAATAGCTTTATTTGGAAATATAACATATCTAATTTTTAATGGACTTATATAAAATCTTTCTTCAACATACACCCCACTAATGAGCTGATTAAGTGTTATTTTTTTATAAAAAGAAGAGAGAAAATGCACAAAGGTAGGAAAGGAAAAGTAAGTGATAAAATAATAGGTTTTGTTAAATGTTCTTCAGTTAATGAATTAATTGACAAAGTTTTTGCAGGGTGTGAAAAAAAAATTCAAGGTCAAGCTCCTGAGGCTAAGCCCCCCCATCTCTCAATCCTAGTGACGTCCATGGCGCCAAGGATCATTAAGGGGTTATGTGCATATATATGCACATAAACACACAGGAACACACACATGCACACAAACTGATCACAGTGCAAGCTCAGACCTGACTTGCCTCCCTCTCCAGCTCAGACCCACACTTCGTAAGACTCCACCACCATTACTCCACAGTGTTTTCTTGGTTCTCAGTCTTCATTTTTGCTATCTTCTGTTTTAGAATCAGAACACCCCCCTGGCCCAGTTTGGATCAGCGTTTTTCGTTTTCATTTATTTAGTTTATAACAAAAACATTTTATTTTACTCACCTCTCTCCTCGCGTGATTCTTTTATGTGGGTTAGAAAACTTCAGCCCGGCATGACAATGTGCAGTCATATCGAAAAGCGTGCACCAGAGCAAAACAGGTGCACCTTTTTAAAGTTTGGAAAAAGATAAAATATGCTTTCATTTATAATTTTTAATAATCAAATTTTTGCACAAGTATTCAAAAATAAAGATCATAAACATCTTAATCCACGGACTACTCTGCCCAACTGCCCTTAAGTGTTCAAACAAAGCCATTACCCTGCACAACCCAAACACCTGCAAGACATCAACATTGTTGCAATTTAAAACGACTTACTGGCGCCTATAAATATGCAACGATCAGTGTTGGGAACGTTACTTTAAAAAAGTAATTATAGTTACTGATTACTTTGTCAAAAAAGTAACTCAGTTACTAACTGAGTTACAAGATCATAAAAGTAACTAATTACCAACAAAAATAACTACTTAGTTACTTTTTTCATAAAAGAATGCAAGAATTACTACAATAGTGAAATATAAATGACTTAATGACTGGAACATAATAAAATGTATGTCCAAATGTTTTTTTTTATAAACCTGAATAATTTTAAGCACTTAACAGGAGGAACTACTAATAGGAACATTACACTAATCTAGACTATTAAAAGGTCACTGTGTGATATTTAACAAGACCCCAATCAGCTAAAATTTAAAATTGTAAATAGAAACACCTGTAAAGGTTCCCGAGCCTTTAAATGGTATCTCGGTCTAGTTAAATTACAGAAATAAATGTAATTTTGCACAGTATTCTAATTTTTCCAGCTTCACATAATTGTGTGTTTTTAGCAGCATTTCTGTTGCTGGTAATCTAGTAAAGGTTAAATAAATAAATAAATATCCTTTAAAATGACACTAGAAGAGGCACAAGCCTGATGGCGGACTTACATTTACTAACTTGGGTCAGACCCAACCACAGAAGAGCTGAAGCTGGGTGGTAAACACACACAGATAGTTCTAATAACACCTGAGCTCCATGACGTCTGAGACTGATGCATCACCCCGGCTTTCCACGGGAGCCGTCAGCAGCACGTTACTGCAGCAGCAAGTCATAGCTGCTGATATGAACCGCTGTGGTCAACAGAGCCTTTTCCACTGGAGCCGTCAGCAGCCGTCAGCAGCACGAGTCGGCCGCGTCTCAGGAGCAGCATGTCGCGGCCTTTACGCGCCGGTTCTATTTTCTACGCGCGACGCCTCTGAAACGGGTCAAGTTTGACATTTTTGGGGAAGGAAAGACAGGAAATCGGACGCGGAAATGGAGAGAAGCTACCGAGATTTTCAGAATAAAGAACGTACTGCCTTCCGGTTGCTTTACTTTTAAAAAACGTTACTAACTGTGCGGCCCCGTGAGAAGTTATCACCTAGCTAGCGGTCTCCTTTGTTTTTCAGGTCCGTATTGGCGATTATAAAACAGACAGAACATAAAACACAAACCATGTTGTAGTTTTCTCCTGCTTGTTGTTGTGTTTACTGACGAAGTCACTCGTGTGACTTCGTGCTCTGTCGGTGACAGCTGCTCCCCTGCTGCTTCGCGTCTCGTGGGAAGGGCCGAGCAGCAGCTTACGCGAGCAAGACGTGCTGCTGCAGTAACGTGCTGCTGACGGCTCCCGTGGAAACCCGGGGTCATTGTTGTGTTAGAAACGCCGTTATACTTAAACGGCGTTACTCCCAACACTGGCAACGATGCTCTCTAACGCAAACCATTGCACATTTTTGTTCCATAAAGATGCAAGGTGGGGTGGACGTCCAGAGCTTGTTCCTGCACGGTGGCGACTGCTTCGACATGTGACATGATTACATGAACCTGAGCAGCCTTCTGGAGAAGCGCGACCAGAGGGAGGTGGCTCCAGAGGAGCCCGAGAAGGACCCCCATTGGCGCCACCTCCAGACCCCATCCAGGCTCAGGACCTCCAGCATCTCCGCAGAGACTAGTTCCAGCAGCAACAGCAGCAGCAGCAGCAACGGGGCGTCTGCAAGCAGCTGCAGTTTCTGCAAGCAGAACGGAGAGTCTTCTAAGGTGTACCGGTCCCACAAGCTGAAATCTGACAACGGGAAGGTGCTCTGCCCCGTCCTCCGGAAGTACACCTGTCCCATCTGTAAGGCCACCGGGGACAGCGCGCACACACGCAAGTACTGTCCTCGAGACAAGCGGCAGGAGGCTGCGAGGGTGCTGCCCGGATTAAAGTTCTGGTAACATGATGCTGTCAGCTGGAACAAACTACATATTTATAAAAGGTTGTTTTGTTTACTTAAAATCTGTCAACAAGGAGAAAAATGGGTTTAAGTGGATCCTGTTTGGTTTGATGTTTGAGCATCTGACCTGCATCCTTTAACAATCCCAAACTTTCAGTATTTGTTTGTTTTTATCATGACTAAATGCAAATGATTTTGAGAGGCAGTTTTTGTTGTGTTCCGTCTTTAATGAGTTAAAACACAATAATAATCTGTTCCGTCATCATTTTCATAATAATAAACAGTTCTTTGAAAACTATTGTTGGGTATATTTTTATGTTCCTTTTTGAGCCAAAGCTCATTGGTTATCTCTGGAATGTGGTGTCCTGGGAGAGGAGCCTGTATGTCTGTAACTTTAGAAGGCTCGCCTTCTCTGTCCTGTTGGTCAATAAAACCAGTGTTGGGAGTAACGCCGTTCTTTTTAGGTAACGGAATAATCTAATTAATTACTTTTCCCACTGCTGCAACGCTGTTACCGGGGAAGGAAGGTTGTGCGTTACTATGTGCTTGTCGAACGTTGAGCAACAGTGTGACGCCGGGGACACACCGGCTGCAGAAGCGCCGCGAAAATGGGACCGCCTTCATTCGGTGCCCTTGTTAAGCTATTCTATAGACCACATGGGCAGCCGAAGCGCCGCGAATTGCCTCGCGCCGGTGCTCCAGCCCGCGCCGTGCAGCGATCATTTTGGCATCTGCTCTTTTTTTTTCGCGAGCCGCGGGTGAATCGCGTCAATTCTGGCAGGAAGTCAAACCTAGACATAAGAGGCAGGCCGGTAAATTTAACAAAATAAGGCATTTCAAAATAAAATTCCGCAATAGTCAAATGTGTTCGTAATCAGACACTGCAGAAAAACCACACAAACACACACACACACACATACACACACATCAAACTTTTGTGAGTGTGTGACCACGTGAAGGGTGTGTGGTTTTGGGTGTCTTTTTTCCGGAGCAAACAGGACAGAGAGGCAGAAAGTCTGAGGCAAGCAGTTAAGATGGATGACTTTAAATTAATTATGAAAGTTGAGAAACACAAGGAGCTGTACGACCCTCGAAAAACATGGTTATTTACGTACCCATGTCGGAAGAAACTGCTAGGATACAGCTGCAGAACTGGAGCGGGTTCCAAGAGATTCAACTGGCAGAAACAACTGGTTCATACCATTGGTCACACACACACACACACACACGCACACACACACACACACACACACACACACACACACACACACACACACACACACACACACACACACACACACACACACGCACACACACACACACACACTAGAGCCCTGCACTGAAGCCCTAGGCCCTCGGGTCGGCCCGGCCCTAGGCCCTCGGGCTGGGCTTCGGGCCAACGACTGTGCAATTACCTCGTACATGGGCCGGGCCGGGCCGGGCGCCTTTATTTTTAATCGAATTCATTTTAAAAAAATTGAAACACAAACGCAGCAGTAGAGCCCTGCGTGGGACTGTTTTCTTCATCCCGCTCCTGCCCGCTCCCGCTGAATTTCTGACCATTAGCGCCTGCAACTGCAACGTGTGTGTTACACTCCCGCCTGCACCCGCAGCGTGCATGTCTACTCCCGCCCGCAACCGCAAAACTCTGAGAAATTATTACCTCACAATAAAAGAGATGTATTGAGTTTGCGTCCTCTCTGGTCCTAGAGAAAACATGTCACAACCCGCGGCTCTTCCATCCATCTGATGCGGCTCTCTGTGCTTGTAAATTAATGAATGGATATTTAAATAAAATGCTTTATATTTTACTGAATAAATTTTATATCTGTAAGTCAATTCTATGTAAAGATTGTCTGCGTAAACCTGAACAGGTCCAACCCAGTTTTACTGTGAGACCGGGTTGACGCGTCACGCTTGTGCGTAATATAAGCTGTCTGAGCTGAAGAGATTCTGGGATTCTCCTCCTGGATGTGTCGCCACATTGGAGACAGGAACAAGCGCTATTCAGCCAAAGTTTCATAATCAGGGAACATTTTCTAAGTGACAAGTCTCTCTGAGCGACAGGGTTTGGAAAACACTCGCTTCAGTGGGAGGAATCTTCCCGCATGTGCTCTGGTTCTGCGATGCGCTCCAAACCCCTCTCCACAACTTCAGCTCCTTGTGCAAGTATGCGCTGACAGCGAGCTGCGCTGAGCAGCTCAGATGTTCAGATGGGAATCTTTTCTTGGGTGATTTAGCTACATGCGATGTGTGTAACGAATAAAATGTCAGTTCGTCTGCATGCGTCGGGGTAATTCTTTCTATTCTGGAACTATCCGGTCAACTCAAGCCCTGCTTTTGACTGTTCTGTTTTCTTGTGAAAATTGTTGTAAAGAGATCAAATTTAACTTGATTACCACCAGAGCCAGTGCGCCGTCATCTCTGTGACGGTAAACGAGGGAAAAACTAATTGATTGTATCCTGCACGTCTTTTAACACATTGGTCAGGATTGACGCACTTTGTTTTCATTTAGCTGGTTAAAAAAAACCAGGCTCGGGTCGGGCCAGAGAATCCTGAAAACCTTTTCGGGCCGGGTCAGGCTGGGGCTCCACCCCCTCAAGCCGGGCCGGACACGGGCTCAGATTTTAGGCCCGTGCAGGGCTCTACAGAGTATGGCCCGAGTCGAGCACTTGTGTCGGACTAGGGAGGCTCTGCCGTGCCCCGATCATAAAGATAACCCTGTTAAGTATACGTAAAGCCAACTTATACATTCTACAACCTGGTCAAAAAATAATAATTAAAACATAGCAGACTTTGCGGTTGTGTAATGAGCAGAAAAACTGGTTATGAAACCAATAAACACACCTTGGACCTCAAAACTCTTGGCTTTTCGACGAAAGTTGGACTTCTGTGAAAGAGAAAGACCAGGGGGATATATTCCTTCATTTTTGGAAGCCAAAATTTGACTATGCAAGGTTGCTTCCATCTTGCACTGCGAAATGCGGCGCCATTTGATGCAATTAACCAACTTGCCTACTAATTAACGCTATTGGCCAATGAGCTGTGAGCAAAGTTTGTTGCCTTGAAACAATTCAGCCTAACATAATAACAAATCTTTAAACAAAAACAAAAGAAAGTAAAAAAAATACATATGCATAAGCTCAAAAAAGTGAAACTGTCATTTTTATTTATTTATTTAGTTAGTTAGCTTTAGCCATTTTGGGGGTGTTTATGAATGTGGAAGAGACCCAGCATCCTGTGATGGCACTAATAACATCAAGAGATAATAAATAAGGTAATATTTAGGTAAATTTAACCCTTTACACGTGACCAGGACTCTGTGATCAATGTTTGGCAAGGGAAATCTTTTTTTTTGCCATTTTTGGGGTGTTTATGATGATACACTAGACAGTATGAGTACAGTAACGTCAACAGATAATACATAAAACCCTTATTTGGTCAATTTTAGCCTCCGTGAAAATCTGAGCGATTCAATCACTTTTTGGCAAGTAAAATGCCATTTTAGTTGTCTACAATTAAATCATCAATGAAGAATTTAAAGATATTTTGAGGCGTTTCTTATAGGTAAACAGGAGGGTATAGTCTCTATTTGGCAAGTGACAATCTTAATTTTATGTGCTGAAGTGCTTTTATCTTGTTACTTTTAAATAGAGCAACGTAATGTATAGCAACTTACACAGTGTCATTAAAGCCAAAGCTTGATCAGTTTAAATACTATTTTTCAAGTAAAAATGTACCCCAAACTAACTGTGGCTCTATGTCAAGTGGACTAAAGAAAGGAAGGGAAAAAAAATCAAATCGCTGGAGAATTGTTTATTTACATTTATACGACGTTTACATTCAATACAGGGCGCCATTATTTATTTTTAGTATCAAGGCTGTAACATAAAGAAAGCCAGTTCTTACCACAATCCATCTTTCAATCGCAAATATTGCAAAAAGGATTAATATATCCTCATTGTGAACGTTTAAGACAAATAGCAACACTTAAAACAACTTCCGAACTGGAAAAACTAATATCCGCGATAAACATCTGTTTAAGCACCGGAAGAGGTTATCTCTGCTTTCTGAATGTCCATATTGCTAGATATGCTGAGTTTTAGGGCGAAATCCCGGGGAATTTCGTCTAGAAATGCAATTACCCTAACCGTGCGCGATCCCGCGGAGGCTAATCATTTTTTGGCAGCGAGTCGATTTATGGCACAACACCTGTTGCGGAAGCGCTGCGAAGCGCCGAGAAGCGAATCGCTCACGAAATTCGGCCGCTGCTCGCCGCTCCTCAGTTCAGATCAGACGCGCCCCAGTCGAGGCGCCCCTCGGCTCAGCTGTAGTTTTTCTTTTAAACACTTGGTGTCCTCCATTTCCTCTCTGCCTTTTCTCAGCTCTTTTCCTCTACGTTTGAGTGTGTGTGTGTGTGCGTGCGCGCGTGCGTGCGTGCGTGCGTGTGTGCGTGCGTGCGTGTGTGTGTGTGTGTGTGTGTGTGTGTGTGTGTGTGTGTGTGTGTGTGTGTGCGTGTGTGTGTGCCTGCTCTGTCTTCTCAATCCCCAGTGAGTCGTGGTGGATGGCTGCTTATACTGAGCCAGGATTCTCTGGAGTTTTCTTCCTGTTAAAAGGGAGTTTTCCTCTCCATTGCTGCTATATGCTTGGTTAGTATGAGGATTGCTGTAAAGTCACTGACACTAGTCAGTGACTTGATGCAATTTGCTGGGTTCCTTATATAGGAAACATTATTTCTGATTGGCTTAATGAACTGTGAATTGGAATGTTTATTATGTGAAGTGCCTTGAGACGACTCTTGTCATGATTTGGCGCTATATAAATAAACTTGAATTGAATTGAATTGAATGTGAAGTGCCTTGAGACGACTTGTCGTGATTTGGCGCTATATAAATAAAACTGAATTGAAATAGAATTGAATCCTAATTCCTGTGACATTTCCTTACTGTGCTTGACATTTTTGGTGGATCCAGTTGGTGTCTCACCAGAATGACAACAAATTCTCCTGTGTTACTGACAATGGACAGGGCCAATGGTTTACCACAATGCAATTACACACCCAAACTGTATGGAGAGCCAAACAACAAAACTCTGCCACTCTGCTTTCAGTGGGGGTTCCCTAAGCTCCTGATTTGTGATAATTTAGTTTTCATGGTTAGCTATTGTCTAAATTTAGACAGTTTTCTAAAAGATTACAAATAGCCAATGTGAACTGTAAGGATTTTAAAGTCAAGAAGACAATTAAAAATCACAAGAGGCTCTGCTGTTTACTGTATAAAAAACTAAGTTAAAATACAGCCACATTTTTAAATGGGAAACTTGGTTAATCTTTTACTCATAGCTTAATCAAAAAAGTAGGAAGATCAGCAAATAGCATGACTCATGATTTAGTTTCTCATTAGTTTAAGTAAATTCTGAATTTATTTCTTATAATAAACCCTTATAGCAACTATTATTGTCTCTGGGAATTCAAGAAAACCTTCCTAAAAGTGTAGGCCTTGCGTGAGCTTATTGGACCTGTAAAATGCTAAGATGATGCACAGTTGTGTTGCTGTGAGCCAATCAGAGGTGAGATGTTCAAAATCAGGAAATTAGACTCCAAATCCTGCTGTCTTCTGCTCCGCTCTCCTCTGGCTCACTTCTAGTTTCTGTAACAGAAGCGCCAGAGCGTTTTCTGGCAGATCGAATCACAAGGCATTGATTAATACTAGAGACCACTGCAAATGTGTTATAAAACAAACAAAAAATAAATAAATAAATAAAACCGAGTGAACTTGGTTTTAAAGACGGTTTATAAATAGCAAGATTTCATTGAATAAGATCTTGTAATGATAAAACAAACTATCAGCTGGGCCTTTTATGGCTAATTTAGCATTGAATAACTCCGACATCTTCTCTGTTTTGAATTTTGGGCACCTGGTAGAAACAATAAAAGGTGACAAAGAGACATGCAAGACATGCAAAGTGTGTGAAAACACACTGTCATGCACAGCTGATAGCACAAAAATTATGCTAAATCATCTACCGTGCAGGAAATAAAATGCTAATTTATAGGTTCTGACAAGAAGAATAGGTTAGTTATTATTAGTTTTAGTATTATGCTAATGAAGATGTGTGGTAATTGACAGGACAAATTAAGATATTTATTGTAAAATTTTGCTTTGATTGGCATGTCTCTCTCTGTGTGTGTGTGTGCTGCTATAAAACAGGTGAATAGCAGAGAATCTGATTTTGTATTTCTACTCATATACTCGCATATATTCGTATTATTGGAGTTTTGCGGTAGCAATGCAGCCTCTAAATAAGGCTAAACAATAAATAAATAACTAATAATAATAATTAGTGAACGGCAGTGACGTCACTGAAATCACTGGCGGCTAGTTTCACTAAACGTCTGTAAAGGACCCCAGATAATACCAACAAAGCACATCCAAGATGCTCCCAACTAACAGGGGAATAGTGCTAGTGATTCATACCAAATCGTTGGCGAAATGAAAGAGTTCAGTGGCAGATAATGTCTTATTTAGAGGCTGCACTGCTGCTACAACAACTCCCATTATGGATATACACCAATCGGATATTTCAGCACCAAAGTTTTCTCAGTGAGTAAATAAATGAACTGCATAATAGAAATAAGGTCCATGTAACAAAAAACAAACAAAACAACAACTATAGTTTCTGTTTAATAATAATACAACATGTTTGCAATGCCCCTTTTAGTCAAGTTTGCACTAGACAGCACAGCCGCCTTGTGTACTCACCTTCATAGTTGTGCACATACTGGGATGTGTACTATTTGAATCCATTTCACCATTTGCTTTGTGGAGCCGCTGAAAAGGTGTCAACAACATGATGAATGCCATCAACTGAAATTTTTGGCTAATTCCCAAGGGATGTCACCGGATGCACCGTCCTTGTTGTTATCCCTGTGAAGGGGACAGGAAGTACCATGGCTCTCTGGAGTTCATCAACTAACGTTTGCTATCATGCACAGGGACCATTGTTGAAGCTAAACTTTCCATCCCTGTTTCCTCTGTCCTAAGTGAGTCTTTTCAGCTGCAGGAGACCAGTTCATTCTCTCGATGGAATTAACTGAAAGACCATCAACACCGAGGTTGCACACTTTTAAGTTTCACTAATTATTAGTAAAATATCATCTTGCGAAGGCAAAATAAGAGATCACGAAGTATAATGACCTGAATGCATGAATGCACTCTGGACTGACTATCAGTCGGGTCAGAGCTAACCAGTTTCCTCAAACTGAGGTAATGCAAAGATCTGAAAACTGCTTAAAAAGATCTGAATTATCACTTATGAAGAATGAATCCTCTGACCTTAACACTCCTGGAGATCTATAGTGTCAGTAGTTAGAAGAGACCCGCTGCCATAATAAAATATTATATCCTAATGGGTCTTTCTCAATTTAAATGAAAATAATGGTATCATAAGACTAATAAGGTTGTAATTGAATATTTTATTTGCAAATGAAAGAGTAATAACTCAAAAGTCGTAAAAATATACATTTTTTACTTGTGATATTTGCATGGATTGTTTTCATCAAATAAATGAAATAAAGAAAAATCCTTGATTTATAGAAAAACCAAAAAGAATGAATCAGAAAAAATAATAAGAAAACACATGACAGTAAATTTAACACAAACGTTTTACATTTCCCTTTACCATGCTGAGACTGCCCACCCCACCCCCACCCTGACATGGAAACAGCCAACCTCACCAACTCCTCACAGACCAGTGATGAGCGTAGCACACAAGAAAGTGCAAAGTACATGGATGAAAAAGAACAAGACATAAAATAAAGCTTTAAATGTTTTTTGTGAATGTATTTACAAATTCAGATCTTCTTTAACTTTTATTTGATTACAAGTATATTACATCAAAGCAAAGCATTCCCATTCATCTGCTCAATCTTCTATGACATGCAGGTACCTTTGCCATCTGTTTGTCTTTCGTCTTGAGGTTGAATGAAGCCCCATCCATCTCCACTTTGTAAAGTAATAATACATCACATTCTCTTATACTGACTGAAAAACCACATGTTGCCCTGCTCAACAGCTTTATTCAGAAATAAAACTGCCTAATAGAAGGTAAAATACCATAGCTACATGAGATTCATACTCCTACCATGTACCACAGGATAACCATTAACAGTTTAACTGCACCTTTGGGTGTTGATAACAAGACCATATGCAGTTCTGATGGATACTCTAAAAGGATCAGATGTGCCGGTGACACTGTGAGCTATGAGGTGTGTTAAGGTGTTCCTCCTACAATCACCTGACTGGCAAAAACGACTTCAGCCTAATGTGTTTGGGAGGAAAAATAAATAAAAAAGCACAAGTTTGTTGAGGCCACGGAGTGAGATGGAATGTGAGAGTTCATAAACTTGGGAATCTGCCACCTGAGACTTCCAGAAGCTAGAGAGCAAATCAAAAAGCTTGGAGTATTTTAACAGCTGGAAGACTCGCGTCCCATCCTCCACCTCCATTGCTACTTTCATCTGCTGAGGAGGGAATTTCAATGACAAGAGCCCACAGCCCTGGCTCAGAACCTAACCAGTTTTAACACTACTCATTCCTTCCACCATTCTTCTAGATTCCAATGTGGATAATAATAAAAAACACAAGTAAGAAATTGCCATCAAGATTAGGAGGCATGGCGGTGTGTGCTTTGCTGTATGTGCATGCAAGTGTGTGTGTTCTGTTACAGTAGCTGTGAGTGTGTATGTGCGTGGGTGTGTGTGTGTGTGTGTGTGCAGATATCCTCTGAGTGTTGACAGTCCTATTGTGTGCAGCTTTTGGTATCCTGGTTCCATCAGTCAGCCATAATACTTCCAGACATTCGATCCATCAAATTGATTCGGAAGGAGCAGAAATAACAGGGAAATCTATTTGGGCTTTTGTTTGTGCAAAGCGTGTGTTTGTGAGGCACGAACGCTTGTGTGTGTGTGTGTGTGTGTGTGTGTGTGTGTGTGTGTACACAGAGCACAAAATCATGCTCTTGTGTGCATTTCTTACATGATATTTATACCTGTTGATGTATATATGTACAGCTTGTACCTGTTTGCATTGCGTGCGTGCATGTGTGTGTGTGCCTTGAGATGCTGACAGTACACCCAGGGCCATTCTATTTTAAGAAACAGCAATACAGGATGGGAGTGTACAAGTAGCCTCCAGAGCTGATGATGATCGTTATGAATTATGGACGTTCTTTGTCTCAAGATGTCGCCCCCTCAAGCAAAACCATGTGTGCTGCCTGTGAAGCCAAATCCAGTAAAAAAAATAACAAAACACAACAAAAATAAATACTGCCCGTCTGCTGTCATGGACATTTAGGCAGAGGTTACTTTACTTGACTGCACCCTTCTTACAAAGAAAGACACACTTCAAAATGTATGGGTGTGACCCTGGGGATAACACCAAATGTTCTCACACACGCACACACAGACACGCATGCACGCACATACACATTGACAAGCATGCAACCGTGCATGACTGCATACACAAACAGCTTTTCTGGTCAGATGTGAACCACTGTTGCTTGTTAAAAATAAAAGGCATTGTGTTTTTTCTTATTTGTAGATTCCCCTCGCAGTTTAGCTGTGTGTGAAATCTCATGTGTTCTGTCAAATCGAACAGCATGTGCTTACCAGGCAGATGGTGCAGATTTTAAACTGAAATGTGACCAAATTTTCCTAAAGATAGACAATGGTCACGCTAAGCTACAAAATGAAAGTGTGGTGCGTTCTAGTTTTAATCCTCTGCTACTCATATAGGGTCCTGAGAATAAAGATCATTTGGTTATGAAACAATAAACCATGACATTGATGTGTTGGTGACAAATTAAAAGAATAAGCTGTTGGGCCAACAGGAACCACTTGAGCCTTTTAATACATATGCTCTGTCTTCATATGCTTTAATGAAGGGGAGGTTTATCAAATATGCTAGTATACAATTTCTCATCACTTATGGCCACCAAAACCTTTATCTACAGTATGATGCTTGTTCAATGGATGTGTTATCCCGAAAGAGTCAAATCCCATCAGAGTAGAAATACTTTAAAGGATAACAGTGGCCATTTACAACAACTTTCTGTAGCGTTGGAGTGTTGCATCCATTTATGACTTCCATCACACAAGATGAGGGCCCAGTAACTCTCTCTATGGCCTACACACCCGATTTAAGAAAGCAACCAACACTTCTACATATTTGGTACTTCCTACTGCATCCCTGAGATTCTGTCCTGCACCATCACATCTTACCATCCCAAAAAAGATGTGACTCAAAATGTTGCTAGTTGTACAATACAACCATTAAAATTTTTTTTAACATTGTGAAGAAAACGGTAGAAATGGCATGTTTGTAATTTGATTTCTGTAGATTATTCCAAGATCTTGAACCAAAAGCCCACAATGCGGGACAGAAATTGAGACCAATGCAGAAGTGAAATAAATTGCAGTTCCAGCCTCATCCACTAGGGGCTGGTGTCATAAGCGAGCAAATCCTCATTGACTCCCATGTTAAAAATACCAATTTCACAGCAGAAATAAACATGTTTAAAGCCTGGTACCAAAACATGTTTTTGGTTTAAATGATCTAGTTTACACTCATGACAACTCTGAGGGCGGTGAATTTTTTTCTCACTCTTCTGTTTAAGTGTATTAAAAGTCTAAAATTCTGTATAATTAATGAGCATCCGACCCACGTGACCGCAGAGCTAGCTCCGGGGAAAGGCGTTACTCTGAGCCTTGGTCTCGCCTGAAAACTGTTCAGTCATTTTTAGTCTCTCAACTTAGACCATTACTTGTGCCGTTTGTGCGTTGATTTTTGGATATTTTTTGTGCAATTGTTGGACAAAATGACTTGCTGTGGCATTAATTGCACTAATAGAGCATCCAAGGAGTCTCCACTTCATTTTTTTTGGTAAGTAAAATTATATTTATGTATTTTAGGTCACTGCCGAGCTGAGCTTAGATTTTAACATGTACTATTTAGCCATGAAATTTAAATGTAATAGGGTAAAACCCAGTGCATTTAACATAATGCTGCACTTTAGAAAATGGGTTGAAATATAACATGTTGGTGGAGCTGGGTTCCGACTATCGGCTTGTGGAGCTCTCGGGAGACCGATGTTTTCCACCCGTTTCTCCCCTCCCCGCAGCTCTGCGCATCTCTGATCACCACGGCTCCTGTCTGCTGCGTGGGCTGCTGGCTAGTGGAGCTCTCGGATGGAAACTGATGTTTTCCACCCGGTTCTCCCCTCCCCGCAGCTCGGCGCATCTCTATCTGATCACGGCTTCTGTCTGCTGTGCGGGCTGCCGGCTTGTGGAGCTCTCGGGAGACCTCTGTGTTCCACCCGGTTTTACCCAGCGGTCAGCCCGGCGTATCTCTGACTCAGAAGCTCTGGTGTCGTGCACAGTTAACTCCAGTTGTAGCTAGGTTGCTACCTCTGTTAGCTTAGCTCCCACCTCCGCGTTAGCTTTGGGTTAGCTTCAGGTTAGCTTGTGGCTAGTTCGACCAGGTGTCGTCAGTTGATCCCAGCCTTACAGCCCCTCCCTCAGCTCCACCTCTCTTCCCTTTTATGAAATTGTCTGGGCTTGACGGAACCTGTGACACGGTCAAAATGGCGGTGGTGGCCACCTCCCATTTCTCCTCAAAAACGTGTTTTTGGGGTCTATGGAAACCCATTGTCCATATATGTATATGTTGATGTCTTGAACCAACATTTGGATCCAAAACCCAATGCTGGGAGTTACAGTTCCATAAGTCAGCTATGTGCTTCCAAAACGATCCTACAACATATGCCCAAAAACTCGCCATATCCATATGGGCTCATCTTCTCCAGACCATGCTGGGATGCAGCTGCACCACAGAGGAGCAGGACTCACTGACACAACACTACACTGTGACTGAGTGATATCCAGTGCATGAAATCAGTGACCAGTTCCACTTATGCAAATCCTGCCATGCCAGTGCAAGGGAAGTCCCCATGCTCCATCAAAGACCCAAACAGGAAGCCAACATGATGGCCACCTTACTACAGAAGCTTTGTGCCTGCTAAAACCATTCACACCCTATAAAGTGTGATGGTGACCACTGCAAGCATTTCCTACAACCATACTCTTTGTCCAATTAGTCAGATTTTTGCTTCTTGCCGGGGGATAGCCGAAAACTACACGTTTACATTTGAGATTCAGTTTTGTTTGCTTCTACAGACGAAGTTCATAAAACATTTCTTACTTTAAAAGAGAAACTAGGCAGTGCACGTAACGATAACTTAGCTTAGGCCCAACAAAATGAATAGTTTTTCTCTACACGTGAGCCTATAACATTCCACCATGTAAATTATTTGTGAATTATGAATGCTGATGAATGATGAAAATACCTTAGATGGCATCAGGAACATAAAAGCCACTTAGATGAAACTCCCTTTGGATTTCTGACTTGACTCTTTAGTTAGAAGGAAATTTCCCTCTTAAATACTCTTATTATTAAGTTGAATGACATCATGTGCATACATCTATCAGTATGTACAATATAAAACAAGACTGATTACAGAATGTACAGTACGTAGTCCTGTGGCGTGGGATTGCTTCCTCACCTTTCACTCCGCTAGGTGCTTGGCAGCACCCAGGCATGTTTATCCACTTTGCACCTCTGTGCATTTCCTGGTGTTGACCCTCAAATTCTAACAGAGACTGAACCATCCGCTGAAGATAAGGACCCAGAAAGAAACCATCAAAATGAAGAGGGATTGCAAAGGCACGCTATGTAGGCTACTTGCCCATTTAAGTCAAAATGCAGGGGGCTCTCTGAGGGTGCGACAAATGGAAACACTTGCCCAGGCAAGTAATTTGATGAGGCAACAATCTTGCGCCACACCACAGTTATGGATCCAAGGAGAGCATTGACATTGACACCATACATACCCAAAGGTACTGAATTATCAAGGATTGCACTCATTATTTTTTCATTCTGACATATTGTTGTTATTTTTAATGTCATGGTCAGTTCTTTGTGTCTTAGCTTGATGCAGAACCATACAAGAGGCTGAAAACAATGAAAATCCACCATTTTCTACATCACACATTCATGGTTTCCAAATTTGGCTTTAGTTTGAAAACACAGCAGGTAAACAAAAGTGTTAAACAAATACCAACACTAACCCATCCAAAGGACTGGTGGCACTTCTATATATTGATGATTGGATACTTGGCTGTCTGTCACTCTGTACAACCTTCTTAGGGAGAAGAAGAAGCAGAGAGGGAAGAAAAGAAAACCCAGCTGGTCTAATAGATGCTTATTCCTATGTTTAAAGTATCGCTATAGGTCTAATACATATTAGTAAATTATTCAGGGAGAATATTTAGTACCAGAAAGGTTCAATGTAGATAGAGTATGGGAAGAGGGACTCCATTGATCTGAATTCACCCGTCAGTACCAAATCCTTGTAGGTGAAGCTCCCCCGACCAACTGATGAGGCAGATGAGCCACTCACAAGTCAGCTGAGTCAGTCTCAGGACAGCTGTGGTTCCTCCTGGGTTCCTTATGAGAGCACAAAAGACCGAGAGCACTGAGGCAGATGATGTGCATGCTGCACACCGTGTCTGTTCACATGGATGGGCACAGTCGCCCACGCCCGTGGGAGGCAAAGCGGTTTGTGGTTTTAGAGGGAACGCTAGAGGCAGCCAGACATGGGGGTGCAGAGGGACATGTATCAGAAAACCATTGTATCTAAAAAAAAACTTTAAAAGTTCCACACACTTTCCCCCTTCTATCCTCTATTCTACATCAGGAACTGATGGTAACCAAAAGTTTGTCTCCACTACATTGGGATTTCCTTAAGCATCCTGCTCTAACTTTCTTATTCTAACTCATTTTCTCCACTGCATGCCTAAGCATCTGATTTGATAAATAAATAAAAGCTCTTCTAGGGGGCATCTTCCACCTCATTGCACAAGGTGCTTCTTTGTGCCTTCTAAACTCAAAAGAAGGAACTCGGAAAGGAAGTTCTGCCTTTAGCCATGGGACACAAGCACTTTTTCCACCTCAGGTCTCTGCTCTGCTCTTTTCTTTGTTTTATGTAATTCAGTAGAGGGGCAGGCATGTCTTATTTTCCCTTTTTAATTATGCATTCAATAAAGTACTTTTGAACTTATAGTATTGATTCTTTTAATTACATCCTTTAACTAGTTGCATTTCTTTGTTTATGGAAGAGTCCCAGTCTTTAGGAAGGGGGGCGGAGGCTATATGGGTTTGGGGAGGGGTAGGAGTCTTACATGGCTGCAGGGAAGAGTTGGCTTTCAGTCCTACACAGTCTGAAAGGCCTTGGTCTGAGCAGGGACCATGAGGGTCGGGGGTGTGGGGCCAGACATGTTCCTGGTGTTGAATTTGGGAGTATTGGGGGGCTCGGGGGTCTTGGGGGGCACCACTGCAGTGTAAGCTGGAGGGGACTGGGGAAAGCCTGGAGGGTGTCCATTTTCCTTGAGAGCTGCTACAGCAGGTGGACGTGGGCGGTGTCCACGCTGGATGCTGTTGTGCACCATTGACTGTGTGGAGGAGGCGCCGGAGCGCGAGCTACCAGAGCGGGACGAAGACAGCGAGTTTGGCTTCACCAGCTTGGCCTTGGGGGCCTCAGCATCTTCCCTGTGGTTGGAAACAGAGCAGACACACACAGCAACTTTTAATTCATAGAAAAGGGAACTTTAGAAATAGAAATCCCACCTCCTCCCCATTGACAAACAAACACAATGCACCACAAACGAGTACAGCATGATTCTGTTCCATTGTACTATTCTGAGACATTACACACAAGAGACGAGTATTTTGTGTGGAGGCTCATGTAATTCGTGAGAAATCCTCCAGCCTTGCAGTTTTGTGAAACACATTTGCATGGAATAATTAAATCTGCTAACATCACTCGTTCCCCAGACAGAATGGTTGAAGGAAAAGGATGTTTGCCAAGAACTCAGTAAAAAATTCATAATTTTCCTAATTTTTAATAACAAGATAAAACTTTGCCAAAAAGCAAAGAACATAACGCGGGTGGCGTATCTTAAAACTGACTGCCTCTGCTGTTATGCAGCAAAGCTGTGGTCACTTGTGTTATAATATTTACTTAGTTGGTATTTAAATGAGAGAAAATCTCAGAACACATAGCCTTGGGCTACATGCTATCCTCACAGGCACACATATGAGAGCTCTTACTGGAAAAAAGAATAAACATCAGTGACTAAATCTGGATGTGCTGTATCGCTGAGGGGTTTGGTGGAGCACATTAGCTGGAAAGCTCTGACTCTTAACATCGAATGAAACAGAAAACACTTCATCACATTTACATTATTTAACTCAAGCTGTCCTTCAACCGTGCTGCATTATTCAATGTTGTAGAGTTCAACCAAAACAAGAGCAGTCTTTGGCGACAAGTGAAACTAAAACTTTCCTAAGGTATGACAAATAAATACGGAAAAATAAATGCTGTTTTAAGAACTTCCTGAGAGTAATGAATTACAGTAATCCAGTCTTGATGTAATAAATGCATTAACTAGTTTTTCAGCATCACTCCTGGAAAGGATGCTTCTAATCTTAGCAATATTCCATCCATCCATCCATTTTCTGAACCTGCTTGTCCAAGTAGGGTCGGGTTGGGGGGGGGGGGGGGGGGGGGCGGGGGGGCTGGTGCATATCTCCAGCGGTCAATAGGCAGTCAGGCGGGGTACACCCTGGACAGAGTGCCAGTCCATCGCAGGGCAACACAGAGACACACAGGACAAGCAATTATGCGCACAGACACACACACACACACAACACACATACACACACACAGACACAGACACAGACACAGACACAGACACACACACACACACACACACACACACACACACACACACACACACACACACACACACACACACACACACACACACACACACACACACACACACACACCTAAGGACAATTTAGACAGACCAGTTAACCTAACAGTCATGTTTTTGGACTGTGGGAGGAAGCCGGAGTACCCGGAGAGAACCCACGCATGCACAGGGAGAACATGCAAACTCCATGCAGAAAGATCCCAGGCCAGGAAGCGAATCCAGGTCCTTCTCACTGCAAGGCAACAGCTCTAACAACTGTGCCACTGTGCAGCCCGTGTCAGTACATAAGAATGAAAATATTTTATTTTTCTTCACAAATGAAATAATTAGAATTTTTTATTTACTTGGGTATCTTTGCATGATAGTCTACTGAATTATATCGGTTAAAAACCTCCGAAGTGAGACAAAAAAAAAAGCAACTAAGTAAAAATGAGTACTTTTTGACAGCTCTGTACCTGTTTAAACATAAAAATATTAAGGCCCCCAAAAATCTAAGAAGTTCTGAACTTGCTTCGGTTTTATGTTTAAACAAAAACAAGGACACACTCCTCATGCTTTCACAGATAACGTTAGTACTGGGTTGTAATTCGTACCAAACCAACATGTCTCTGACAGGGAACTGTTATAATGAAACTCTATCAATACTTGCAAATTTAATACGTAAAATATGGCTGAATACTATAAATGAGACAAAATAAAACAATTCTGGTGCAAAATTCAATTCTTTTTAGATAAATAAAACATAAATCAAGGTTGGGGCAAAAATAATATAATACGGTTTATGTAAAACTATAAACTGCAATTTGGCAAGAATCAAAGAAAACATAATCATTTATTTGGACTCACGACGCATAACTCAGCTCCTGTTCCCTTTTGTTTATAATACAGTTAAAAGTGGAAAAAAGCGTAAATCAAACTAAAAGATTTGAACCGAACTTGATCTCATTTGGGGTCTCCTCCTCTTCATACTTCTTCTTTTCTTTCTTCCGAAAGACAAGCCAGATTATTAATATGACGATGAGGACACCGAGGGATATTCCCACCACGGCACCCGCCACCATCCCAACATCCCTCACATCTGTGGATAAGAAAGGAGGAATTGATGAGAAAAAGACTCACTTTACTCTTGTAAAGGGAAATATAGAGTTCACAGTTAAATCTTGACATAATAGCATACCATATCAGAAACATTTTTTTAGTGACATGGCATTTTTAAAGTGACAATGTGTATTTTCCCTGGTGATAGGAAGCAGTACATACCTAAATGATTGCAAGCAAGTGATAATTTTGTGTTTGAATAAGACCTTACCAATGGATGGCCATTAGGGTCAAAAATCCCAGGGAACGCAATTTTTGGACAAGTACTTTGTCAGATCGTTCAACCTCGAGCAAAATAACAAGCACATCAGACCCCCTTTCATCACTGGCAACAAGTGAAGAGGTAAATGTGTAAAATGACATTTATGAATGGAGAAAGCTTTGTAAACTGTTTGTTACGAATCAATAAATGCCTTTGGTCCTCATGGGCTCCCATAGAAAGAAATATGGCATCTAATATGGCACTCCCAGAGACTTATGCCCAATCCCAGTACTCGCCCTGCGGTTTTCAGCAAAGTGCACTTGGAGGAAGTGCGCAGTAAGGCTTCGAGTGCGTACACAAGTGTGCAAATAATTGACGAGTTGAGACAGGGAGTATTGCGTCATCAACCACAATGCATGCCAGGATGCTGGTCGCTGTGATACTTTTTACAAAACCTTCACTAACAACTTTCAAACAAACCAAACAATTCTTAGAAATACAGTTACATTCATTGCTGCTTTGTCTAAAAGTTTTAGAGCATCAACTAATCATCCTAACATGAACTACTTTCATTAGAAAATACATATTTTCAGAAAAGGCACTTGAGCCATTTCTCCTGCAGCAATGGATTGTGGGTAATACACTTCACCCATGTCAGCATTGCGGGCAGACTTGGGTGAAGGGTGCAAAAGGGATTACACTCAATTGGGCCTTAGACCTGCTTCCATGTATTTTAGACTTGATTTAATGGTTATATGTTACAAAGCCGGCAACTATTTTCAACAACTGGACATTATTTATTTAATTTCCAACAACCTTTTGATTGATGTTTCCAGAAATGAACGGTAAAAACGACACATTATCACTTTAATTTAAATTTAATACCAAGGCTGAGACACCATTTTTTGAAAAGCTGATAGATTTGTTGATGACACATCATCTCCGTCCTGGAATATATCAGTGACAGTGAAGCACAACACTTGGAGCACTGGTGGTTACCACCACCAACACTTTAGGTTTACTGAATTCAATTGTTCAAACACCAAGAAAAAAAGGAGGGTGAAGGGAAAAACACAGGGACAGGAACAAATGTAATTCCAGCTGCAGATGGAAACAATAACCATCAATCAGCTTGGCACTTTAACGTGAGGTGAAGATTGTGAGGTCAAGTCCTTTAAAAACTCACGCTGCATGGTGACCTCGATGGTGCAGTTCTCCTCCCCCACGTCATTGCTGGCTGTGCACCTGTAGACGCCTGTGCTCTCCATGGTGAGATTCCTTAGGGTGACAATTTCTGGGTTCTTCAGATCTGGTGGACAAAAAAAAAAAAAAAAAAAAAAGAAGAAGTTTGGACCAAACTAAAAGCGAAGGGGCCAACATTTGTGAGGTTGATCGTCTTTGGGAGGACTGGGGGAGAGAAGCATGTCTGACAGCAGGGATGGAGCCCCAAAGCCAAATGGGATATTCAGTCATCTCCACCACCGATAGCCATGTGGTATTAACTTTCACTACCCGAAAATAATGGCTGCTGATACTGTGCGTTACCGTCCAATGAAAACTAATTAGAGTGAACAGGTGGAGTTTGGTGGACATCATTAAGTTGGCAGTTTTTTGCCTGGGCACCAGTTATTGTGGAGCCCTGCCAGGGGCGTAGCACCAAATTCTGGGCCCTAGGTACAAGTCTTCTAGGTGGGCCCCCATGCTCAATTACTTAATATCTCTCTGACACATTTTTTGTCATGCTATAAGACAAGATAATAAATATGATCTTAGTTTAACCTCTATATTGAGCAAATACAAATGCCAGCATAATAAAAGTGAAATGCCAAGACTTCACATATAATTATTTTTATTTGCCAACAATGTGTTCAAACAAAAATCCTGTAATTTATTTTCCTGTAAATGCCCACTGACGGGTCTTCATGTTAGCAAAATCACTTATGAGATCTTTAAAGTCCAATCCTTTGGCTAATTGGCTTTCAATAGAAAGAAGAACTAGGCTGTTCAGTCTATCCTGGGACATTGTTGATCTCAAATAATTTTTCACCAGTTTCAGTTTGCTAAAAGCCCGTTCACCCCCAGCAACAGTCACAGGCAGTGTGCAAAAAATCCTCAGTCCAATACAAACTTCTCCAAAAATGCTCTGTAATTGCATCCTGTATGGCATTAAGCAGCTCAAGAGGAGACCGAATGTGTGGAAATGTGGCACCATATATTGTTCTCAGGTGTAGCATCTCATTCTCAAATTCAGCTGTGAGATCCTTGTAATATTTTCTCATCAGTGCCTGGCATGATGTCTTCATCTGCTCTTCAGTCATGTCTGTCATGGTTCATGATGTTAAGCTTTGCTAATACTTATATGTATTGATATATTAAATACATATGACATGAAATAAACCAGGTTCTCTCTGTGAATGTAATGCACTCTAAATTTTATAATCCCTGCATTATCAGCCAAATTATAAGATTGTCCGTTTTCAAGATCAAATATAAAGAAATTTAAAATAGGCTTAAAATATCTAACCAAGTCAATAACAATCCTCTAACACCAGTGTCGTCATGCTATACGAAAAACAGTGGCAGCTTCTCATTCCTGAGATTACCACGAATCCATCGATACCAAGTTTGTCCTGGTCCATGACTGGGAAGGAGCTGAAATATCCACACAGAGTGAACCTGTTTTTACTGCGAGGTCCGCGAATTAATTGGCGGCGGCCGCCCGCGATAATAATTCTGATTTTAATATATATATATATATATATATATATATTAGGGATGAGCGAGTACACCACTATCTGTATCTGTACTCGGAATGGGCGTGGCATAACCCGGAAGTGGGCGTGGTTTAACCGGAAGTGGACATGGTTTACATCAATGTATTATTTTAAGTCTGAAATTGATATGGATTGATCAGAAGTTGCTATGTGTATTGTTTATTTGAAAACTATTTACAGAGCAGCCTCAGAAGTGAGATTAAATATTTTTGATCACAATAGTAAAGAAACTATTACAGAAAAAGTGTTTCAATAAAATCAGAACATTAATATTTGAGTGCATGGATTAATACATCTGAACCCATGCAGTAGGAACTAGGAAATATGAAATGCTAGAACCAGACACAACTTTATATATTTTTTTTTATTTTAATTTGATTAAATTGATTTTTTTCTTAACGTTCTTGGCATTTTCCCACACAAAGTTTAACAAAGAAATGTTGATTAATGTGTGTGTGTGAGTGTGTGTGTGTGTGTGTGAGAGAGAGAGAGAGAGAGAGAGAGAGAGAGAGAGAGAGAGAGAGAGAGAGAGAGAGAGAGAGAGAGAGAGAGAGAGAGAAAAATTAAAAACCCCACCGGAGCGGAGGTAGTGACAACAGCACGTCAGCTCTGTCTTGTCAAATGCACCATGTCAGTTACGAAAAAAGTAACTTTAAATATTCAACCGAAAAAGAGGCGAGCTGAAGAAAACCTAGGGAAAACTGAAGAAACGTGAGCAACAGTGAAGCCATCACAGCGCGATCCGTTACTGTCTGTGTGTGTGCGTGGATGAGCCGGCCGGACTGAGCTCCCGGTCGGCTAGAGAGTTTTGTAAGAAGGGAGGGGCGGGCGCTCTATGTGACTGGCCAATCACAGAGCGTGAAGACAGTCAGTTACCCAATGAAGATTTTCCTTCAGCACGATTACAGATAATGACTCGTTTTACTAGTTTCATGCTCGTATTCGTCAAAAATGCGTTATCCGTACCGGATACTCGTCTGAAATGAGTATCCGGCTTATCCCTAAAATTAGTGTTTTCACTGATAACACTAATTAATTTATATTTGATCTTGATGGTGAAACTAAAGGTGTTTAACACTGAACACCTAACATGAATGCAGCTTCTGAGAGCTAGCTAATATCAGCTAAAACTGTGTTCTGCTGCTGCTGCTCACCTTCCTTCTACTTGCTTCTGTTCAATTAACTTTTCCTCCTTCTCCTTCTTTTCTTTTCTTTTCTTTTCTGGAAGCTAGATTTCCCTTTCTTGGGAAAAGACATGACTGACTCTCCTGCCTCCAGCTCTGGCTGGCATCTGCGATGTCTCATTAGCACATGCAGCCGGGCAGCCTCTGGCCGCTGGTGTGGACTAAACCACTTTGCACATTTTTAAGGGGTGATAGATGCCTCAGAGATTATTCAGTTATTATTTTTAAGGCGAAATTCTGTTTCTTAACCTCTTTATCCAGGTAAAGGGAAATTTATTAAGACATTAAGTAAGTTGGGGGAAAAAAACAACAACAATAAAACATTTTTATTCAAAGCTGTCTCAGGGCCCCTCCCTGCAGTGGGCCCTGGGTAAACGGTACCCTTTCCCCCCCCAGTCCGACGCCCCTGAGCCCTGCTGACCGCTGGAGGGAAAGCTGAGACTGGGATGTTAGCACCAAGGGGGGTGGGTGGGCGGTTCTGCTTGTCTGGATACAACAGGTTTAAAGCCTGCTATGTCGTAGAGGCAGACGTGATTTTTTACGATCCAAGAAACATGCCAGAATCCTCATAGAGTGAGTGAAATGTGCCTCGGGGCTTTTATGGATCTTCGTCTGTCTGTGTGTTGACTGTTTAATATAGTATAGCTGCAAATTCATTTGTTTTTCTCCGCATAAATTCCAGAGAATACTGTCTTCGTGCATGCGTGGATAATTCACTTGAGCCAAGATGACATGTCAAATTCATTAGATCCTAGTGTCAGCCCAGTTCTTTGTATTAACATAAGTAATCAAATATACACTACAAATCGCAAGATTATGCTCTGTTTGATTTCCTGGAAAATAATATTCGGCGCACATTTTGTGGCCCTGGGATTATCGCTCACAGGCATAGAAAATCAAAGTAGTCTAAACATATTAATAGCAAGCAGTATCAGTGGATTAAATTAGAAAAACTGAACATGTATAAGTGCCCTTGAGCTAAGAGTTGTAACTTTTAATTACTCTGGTGAAGCAGCTCAGGGATCAGCACTGGCAGGATGGGGTTTGGAAGATTTAGGTGTCAGTGTTTACAAATGTAAAAAAAAATTGGAAAAGATGAAGCTCATGAAAAAAGGGCACTATTACAAAAATCGATTCTCATAGCATCTCTCGGCACAGGGCTTGGAAAGTGAATCAGCATGTTGGTGCAGTGTGGAATAATCTTTTCTTTTTTCGTTTTTTTGTGTGCTTTATTTTTCTTACCTATCAGAGACAGGTTTGGCAATTTGCCCGGACTCTTGCCTTTGTCAAGCACTCGCTCCCACTTGTAGCTAATGGGGTCTGAACCGTCACTGGATTTACAGCTCAGCTTGACGTCGCTGCCCTCCAAGAGTTTCCCATCCATCCAGCACCTTGGCTTAGACGGCTTGACTGGGAGGACACAAAAATGCAAACTGAAACGTATTTGTCTAAACAAAACCACTCAAAAAAATTCTAACGCAAATATTACACTAGTAGTAGTTTTAGTTAGATAAATAATTAAGAGAAATTGTTGGAAAAGAAAACAACAACCAACACAGAAAACATGATGCTTTTTTCTACTGTGAATGAGGATGAGAAGCAAAACATCTTCAATAAACCAAAGAAGTCAAGTAGCCTGCATTCAACCCCTTTTGGATTGCCATGAACTGGTATGACTGAGACTGAGACAAAAATGATGGTACCCCAAACTTCATATTTTGTTATACAACCTTTTGAGGCAATCACTGCAATCAGACAATTCCTGTAACTGTCAGTGAGACTTCGGCCTCTTTCAGCAAGTATTTTGTCCCACTCCTCATGAGGAAACTGCTTCAGTTTTCTTAGGTTTCATAAGATGCTCAAAAGGATTGAGGTCAGGGCTCATAGAAGGCCACTTTAGAAAAGTCCAGTGTGTTCTTCATAGCCCTTCTTGGGTGGTGTTAGCTGTGGTTTGGGTCATTGTCCTGTTGCAAGACCCGTGACCTGCAACTGAGACCAAGCTTTCTGACACTGGCCAGCACATTTCTCTCTAGAATCCCTTGATAGTCTTGATATTTCATTGTACCCTGCACAGATTCAAGACAACCTGTGCCAGACTCAGTAAAGCAGCCCAGAACAAAACAGGCCTCCTCCATGCTTCACAGTACGGACAGTGTTCTTTTCTTGATATGCTTCATTTTTCTATTTGTGCACACAGAGCTGATGTGTCTTGACAAAAAGTTGACTATTTGTCTCATGTGTCCATAGGGCATTCTCCCAGAAGCTCTGTGACTTGTCATCATATACTATGGCAAATTCCATTCAAGCTTTTTTATGATTTGTTTTCAACATTGGTGTCCTCCATGGTTTTCTCCCATGTAGTCCACTTTGGCTCCATCAATGATGAATGGTGTGGCACTGATGTTGCTTGAGCATGAAGCTGACATTGAATCTCTTTAGAAGTTCTTCTGGGCTCTCTTGTTACCATTTGGATTATCCGTCTCTTTGATTTGTCATCAGTTTTCCTCCTGCGGCCACATCCAGGGAGGTTGGCTACAGTCCCATGGATCTGAAATTTCTGATTAACGTGTGCAACTGTAGTCACAGAAACATATAACTGCTTGGAGATGACATGCTTTTCTATATTTTGCTTTCTAATCTCCTGAGACAACTCTTTCCTTTGTTTCCTCTGGTCCATGTTGAGTGTGGTACACACCATGTCACCAGACAACACAGTGACTACCCAGAGCCATATATAGAGGCCCACTGACTGATTGCACAATTGTAGACACCTGTGATGCTAACTAGTGGACACACCTTGAATTAGCATGTCCTTTTGGACTTTTTATAGGGGTACCATTATTTTTTATACAGATCTGTTCCATGAGTTTATTATTTTTTTTAAATTCCGTTGAAGCATGGTTGAAAAGCATTGTGTGGCTTTCATTGGTTAAATTTCATATACTTTTTATTTATTATTACTTTTGTCAGATTCAAGTTATTTCTGTGGCCATTGTGGGTTTTTCTTTCACTGACCGAAGGGTAACAACTATTTTGTCTGTCTGTATATATCATCATCAAATAAGACACCACTGTTATGAATCCTCCACCATTGTACAATGTTATATATATATATATATATATATATATATATATATATATATATATATATATGTGTATATGTATGTATAGCACTAGTCACAGACAGATAATCACAAAGTGTTCCACAGAAATCAACAAAGCAAAGCAAATCATAAAGTCATAAAAACAAAATGATCCTAAAAATTAAACAGCAAATATCATAAAATGTCATGTCATGAAATTATAAAATGATCATTAATATCATCAAACTTGTGAAAGATGATTAAATATGAGTAAAAGAAAATAAAAAAGCACAAAAGATTTAGGCAAAAGCAGCTTTAAATGAAAATGTTCTTCAGCTGCTTTTAAAGGTGACCATTATTTGTTCTGTGTAAAGCACTTTGGTCCTGTAGGTGTTTTAAGTGCTATACAAATAAAGTTGGTATGTTATGGTATGACCAGACTGTTACCTAAAAATAATGTTGTTTTTAATGCTGTTACTCCCAACATAACTACTCACCAGTAAAATCTATCTCTAAATATATGCTCATAATTATCTGACACGAAATAATGAAACCATATTAGCCTAGATTTAGTCAGTTATTTCTTTTGTTTTTCACTTGTTTGAGCTTCAGGCTGGTTGCCATAGTAATATCTGTCAACCGCATCATGTTGCATCATTTCCAATGGAGTAAAAAGGGTTCAGTCTGCAAGTTCACATATCCATTTGATATAATTCTTTCAATTTTGCATCACAAATCCAGCAAGTGAAAAGATGTTAAAGGAAAAAGCTACAAACTACGAGAAATGAACTCAACTTAAGAGATTTAGAGGGATGAACATGATCGGAGTAAAACTGTCCCCTCGGGACTTACTGAGTGATTCTTCTTTCAGGCAATTTAACTTATAACTACATTCTCTACTTATAGCAGCAGTGACTGGAAGTTAGTTTGTAATGGATAAGGTTATTCTACTTCATCATCACGCTAATGTCACAGAAATGGTGACGCAAACAGAAAACTCCCTTGTTGCTTTGGGGAATGGATAAATGGGTCCCAGCTCAGGCTATGAATGTTTGTAATAGCATGTTCTCCACTGGTCTATTGTTTCAGCCCTACAGTCTGCCACAGCTGGAGGCGCGGCACCGTATATGCTGAGAGCTCTACAGCTGCTCTGTTTAGATACTCGCTGAGCAGCGCGGCTATAAAAAGAAAATATAGCACAGTCGTCTCCCTCAAGTGGCATATTTTTAGATGAGCGGTGAACTAAATTTATACATTTGCTTTGTCTTTTCTTCCTTTCATTTTTTCTTGCGACTGTCAAATTAGCAATGTTGACATTTTGTGTTTTTCTTTTTATTACTTTTGCTGCTGTTTGAGAGCAAAGTTGCAGTATAAGTAAGTGTGACATGGTTCCACATGGTGAGTGTGTCAGAGGAAGAATGCCATCAGCTCACACACTCAGTAAGCAGGATAATGAGAGGGGCTGATTGAGCAGCGCCAAGCATCTGTCAGCTCTGTCAGGATGAGTAGGACCCAACTTCTGCAGGAGCAGTTGGATTGCACAACTTTTGTTTAGCAAACTTACACACTCCCAAAAGACATGCATCATTGAGTCCTTTTGGCAACAACAGCAGAAAAATAAAAAGACACACTGTCACATGCACAAACACTGGCATGTACACAAACCGCTCACTCATTGACTGATGCCAAGGCAGCTGCCAGTTCAGCTACCAAGTTATTATCTTAGGAGCGAGGGAAAAACTCAAATGTTCGTCCTTCTCAGAGTGTCACCGCTGAGCTGACGGCAATTTGCAAAAATTGAGGCCCTAAGTCACTGGAATGTCTTTTCATGGTAGTGAGAGGAAAGTGAGAGCATGGGGATTAACAGACTGCTCCATTAGAAAACCAATAACTGCTGGTTGAACTAATCTCCCGTGATGTTTTATTAAGTCGCCTGCCTTCCTGACATTGAGAACAATCTCGCTCCTCCCGCTGGACTTTACGTTTGGCGTTATAGAGCGTTGACTGATGTTGACGTCTTTCAGCGTAACTGTAAAATAAAATGATAAAAAAGAATCACATCATGTAGATTTAATGTATAGAAAGTCTAGTCTCTCTCTTCTCTATTGTCAAATGGCAGCTTTATTTATATATTTTGTGGTACTCGTCTCTTAAACTCATCACATGTTTCTGCTCTTCCGAGTCCGCTGCTATGTTTCCAGTCTCACGTCATCAAGAAACCAATCCAAATGAACCCAAACTGTGAAAGCAAAATCAAATTACATTGTCTGCATCAAATTGAATCATTAGATCAGTCAGCATGATAGAGGAAATGTGCCAGGCTAATGATCTCATGATTAGGTCGCACATGTGTGTGTGTGTGTGTGTGTGTGTGTGTGTGTGTGTGTGTGTGTGTGTGTGTGTACATATGAGCTTCTTCATATCCTGATTGTGTGTGCATGAATCTGTGCTCATTTGTGTGCTTTGATAATGCGTATGAAAACACTCACCCAGCACAATCAAGTTGACGTGGCTCCAGTGGTACTTTCCCACTGACTTGACTTTGCAGTGGTACTCCCCAGTGTCGGTCAGCAGCAAGTCACTGATCAGCAGGGAGGCATCTCCACCTAAGTACTCCCCCGCAAAGGACAGACGACTGGCCTGGCTGCCCGCGGCCTCGTTAGTGTACACCTTGCCCCCGAAGAAGGTAATAATCTACAAGAGAGTAAAGAGAAAAAACTTGTGTCTGAAATTAGCTTTGCACCAAGTCCTTGAGTCCTCAGTTTGCCATGAGAGATAAGCTACAGATGTTTTATGAGGCCTTCCTTCACACCCAAAAATCACTATGCTCGTCATAAGCTGTTTGAATGTTGCTGGACTGTGTCACCATACAGATCTAATCAAGGTCAATACAAAATGCCACAACCATACTTAACTTTCAAATCTGACACTCAGCTCCTGCTCTCCATCGCTAACATACTCTTACTTAAACTATCGCGGTGTCTCAATTCAGGGTCTGCATCCTTTGAAGGACCCAGTCTACTTGGCCGACGTGGGCTGGGTCCTCCGTCGGCCGAGTAGACCGGATGTTAACGGCTGTGAATTTGGACAGGCCTAGCCTTCATGAATTCCCGCCACGCCCTCGGCGAACATTCCATCGCCTAGCAACCGTAGAACCGCTGAGCAGAAGGGAAAAGGAACTTTAAACGATGGAGCTCGAAGTTTTATTTAGCTTTTAAATCATTTCCTTTACTGAGGGCTAATTCAGAGAAAATACTTTTGACAAGCTGAGCCTGAGCAAAGATGTGATAATAGTTTTTAATACTTTCTAAGGGTCTTAATTTGACCGAAACCGATTTATCACCTTTTAAGACTTTTCAAGACCCAGCGGATACCCTGTAATATTAAACAATTCACATTTGTAAACAAAAATAAAATTCAAGAGTTGAATACAGAACTGATTTTATTTAGATATTTCTTTTATATGTACATGTTTAATCTTTATTAACCATTTTTTCTAGCAAAGTAAAAAGCTGTCAAAGTTCTCCCTTTTCTCCTGTGCCCTCTGCTGCTCTGCCTCCCTCTGCAGCCTCATGTCCTCCCTGACAGCTCCAGAAGCTAGTCATCGCTGTCACCTTCCCGTGGATGCCCATGTTCTCCAGAATAGTCTTAACAAACATGTAAGAAAAAAACAGGAAGAGAGAAGAGAGAGAAAAGAGGACAACGGGTTGTTCCTTTCATGTTTTCGCAGGAAAAACTAAACTCAAACGACAGTTTTAAAATATGAGATGTTATTGTACCTCCATGCCACAGCCGCCGCATACTTTGTTCCAGTGATCATGTGGTCCATCTCCGCCCTAAGCTTAATAAAGTCAGTGGTTTTCTCATTTGTCCCTAAAATACAAACTCCTATTAAAATCGGGGAAAACGTAGCGGGAGAAGTACGACACCGAGGGGCCGAACATACGAGCCGAGACCGCAATACAAACACTTTTACTGTAAGATTTCTAACTAAAATAACGTTCATGTATCACAAAAAGCCCTTAACCTAACAGTTTTCAAGTTTATACCAACATTTATATGCACAATCCTCTCCGACAGCTCCCGCTTCACTGTCCGCCATTGTTTTTAAAAGTTCTGTAAACTGTAAACCATTGAAGGATACACCGGACCCTTCCTGCTTGCAGGCGAAAAGAAGACCGAATTCGTCGACCGCATTTGAAGGAGTCTTCAAATTGGGACAGGCCTAGTCACGGCGCTGTGATGTAACCGGCCGACGAATCCGGCCAGCAAAGGATGCAGACCCTGAATTGAGACACACGTTATGTCAACTCTGACGTAAATGGCACCAACTCATTGCTGTGCTTGGGGAAACTAGTACAAATGTCAGGATCTAGTAGGTGTAAATTATGTCTATTTGAGACCATTTCCATAGTTAGGTATTTGCTTTGCTTGTTTTGTGGTTTGGGTTGGCACACTAGTGGAAGATCTGCTTTATGGCAAGAGCTACTTACTGTTCCGGTAGCTGATATACTGCAAAGACTAGCAGTTAGCTTTTTCAGTTCGCCGACTGTCAATAAAATGCACAAGAAGAAGAAGAAAAAAGAATAATTTTGCTTTTTTAGTTGGCATCATAGTGGAGCCTGAAAGTAAAAATAGTAATGCCTTTGGAGGCCAAAAAAAAAGGCCTAAAACCTAAAGAGTGAACATCGGTGCAGCCTACACTCATTAGAAGGAGCTGAGGGAGACGACAAAACCACGGACTGATCTTGACTGGCTTTGTTGCTACTGGACTTGTTAGTAACATGTAGTTTATTTTGTTCAACAGTGTGGATCTTTATACTTTGTTGTTTATTTAGAACCAGTTGGCTCGTATTAGCATTAGCTTGTGCAGCAAGCTGTGGCAGGGTTGTTTACAAATGTTGTAATCCCACTTTCAATCAGTAGGAGGGAGAAACAAGAAAGTAATTATAGGGATACTAAGCAGTTTGGGCCTGCTTTAAGCATCCCCTAGTGTTTGTTAGTAAAAAAAGAAAGTAAAACTCTTCTCCTCACTGTGCATTCCTCTTTAACCCTTTAATCTAACAGCTGAAATGTCTCCTCTACCTTGATTAGTTTCTACAGGACTGGTTCATCACTAAATCAAACAAATCAGCTGTGTTCACGATCTAAAACACGCAGCAAATGTACTGAAAGCAGACTCCAGACGCCAGGCATGTCAGCTCCACCATACTAAGTCCAACAGGGACCAGGCTGAGCAGTATTCTGGCCACAGGCGGTGGTGGGGTCTGAGTGACATTTCATTAATCCCGTAAAAGACCATTTCAGCACATACTGGCTCAAGAAATGATTAGAATATATGAAAAAGTTGCATAGTTTGCCTAAGTGTTACTTTAAGGAAGGTGTATTCAATTCCGGGCCTGAAGGTCCGGTATCTGGCACGTTTTAGTTTTAACTTTGTTTCAATATACCTGATTTCAGTCAGCAGGTTTCTGCAGAGCCTGGTGAGCTGCTGCACAGGGGAATCAAGTGTGTTGAATCAGAGAAACCACTAAAACGTGCTGGATACCGGACCTCCAGGACCGGAATTGAATACCCCCTTTTTTATGGCAAGCATGTTTCACTGGACATTTCTCCTTCCTAAAGATGTGTTTTTGCAATTAGTACTACACTCTTTGTATTTAGGCATTCTACTTTAACGCCCATGATACACCCACAGCCTGTTCGGCACAATTATCTGGAATCGGCTTGGACCTAAAAGTCCTGTCTTGTCCTGCTCCAATTTCTCTCTGGTCAAGCTATGGCAAAGTGCAAAGGGTGCACTTCATACGGTAGATACATTGCCACCAGGCAACCCAAAACTCCAATGAGCAGCAATCAAAGCTCACCATGACCTTGTGTTTTTTTTTACACGCTGCATTCATGATACAAAGTTTTCAGATGTTTTCAACACCCTGCAAAGATTTCCCACCTTTGAGCAGAGCAAGAGCTTCATCCAGTGTGAAGACGTCTTAATAAGTCTTTTTAAGGACTCTTCAATTCCAAAACCTTGCTGTTTTCTCTGTGCTCTTCTCATCAAGAATCACTTAACAGCTCGTTTGCTTAACTAAATGTCTCCATCTCCGCAGCGACACCCCTGAAATGTTTGACTGGTAGCCTGCCAGAAACATTAAGATTTACATAATATTTCACGCACTACTGAGACAAATCCACAGAGTCCCTCAGTAGCTGCAGTTTTGAAAAATTCAGATTCCTATGTCTCAGAGTACAAGTAACAGTGTTAACAATTACTTAATAATTTACACTTATGAGGGAGGATATTTCACAATTGAATGACTTTGCTGAAATGCCACTATCCTGCTAGTGTTAGCTGATTATCCAAGAGCACTTTTATCTCCTCACAGTCTTTTTTACATGCAAAACTGTCAAACTGACCCAACAAAAGGACAGAAAAATCTATTCTGGTGCAGATAAAAGATTAAAGTACCCACAGTGGCACAGATGTGATGTTAGCACAGGCCACACAGAAACAAGACACAGTGCATAATGTAACAATGTACTTTCTGATGCTACAATTTTTCACTTGGGCTGGTTTACATCTTGTGGGGAAATTCCATTTTCTAGTCACGTATCATTATCCAGCATTAAAAATAGTAAAACAACAAATACTCTAGATAATGCACAACTGAATCTGGCATCATCTAGAGTTACTGTTAGAGCATAACGTCATCAAGTCAGTGAAGAATTAAGTTATCTAATTGCTGGTATGAAATGAACTAGAAGCAAAAGCTTGACTAGATTTATGAATCAAAAATGCATTTTTGAGTCCCCCGGATCGTTTTAATCATTATTTGTGGAACTTCTAACCAATTTAAGGCAACTTTGAAGTGCTTTTCTTTGAAAAGGGTATGAGCAATAACACCGAACACATACAGGTGAAACTCCAAATATTGAAATATGTTGCAAAAGTTCATTTATGTCAGTAATTCTACTTAAAATGTGAAACTAATATATGAGATAGACTCATTACATGCACGCCAGCTATTCCAAGCCTTTATTTGTTATAATTGTGATGATTATAGCTTACAGCTTATGAAAACCCCACATTCAAAATCTCAGACAAATAGACTATTTTGAAAAAGTTCACTATTCTAGAATCAAAATGTCACACTCTAATCAGATGATGAATCATGCAAAAGTAATGGTCCTCTTGAAAACATGCTTCATGATATATATGCAAGTAGTACTTTAATACAAATGTTAGTGTTAGCTGTGTGTGTGTGTGTGTGTATGTTCTTGTACTTACTACATACTGGGGACCATCATGAGGTTTTAACCAACATAGTGAGGACGTTTTTCAAAGTGAGGACATTTTTGTGGTCCTGCTTTTTCAAATGTCTACCAGTTGGTTTTAGAGGTATGGTGTGACTGAAGTTTTAGCTAAGGTTTGGGTTAGGAATAGATAAGCATTGGTTTTGGTATGGGTTAGGCATAGTAGGGTCAGCAGCAGTAGCTCAACAGGTTGAGCGGGTTGGCCAGTATTTGGAAGGTTGTAGGTTTGATCCCGGCTCCGACCAGAGAATTCTGCTGTTGTGTCCTTGGGCAAGACACTTAACCCACCCTGACTGCTGGTGGTGGTCGAAGGGATTGGTGGAGCCTGTTCTCAGCAGCCTCACCTCCTCAGTGATCCCTAGGGCAGCTGTGGCCACATTGTA